AAAGTCTTAAATCTGCATTCATAAAACTTGCCGAAACCCTGATATACAAGATTTTACCATTATTTGAGGGAAAGAACTAATGTTTATGACACGATTTGTGTCAGATTTTGTAATGCTATTGAAATGTGAGTTCGGTGAGTAGTTTTAGAGAGTACTTCAGTATTTGGGGCTGTACTTGCATGACTGAAAATAACCGTCCCATGTTGACCGCTGAGATATTATTTATGATATTTGTTCATCAGTTAGAAACTCAGCAGAAGTGTCTCGAAGTGCTTCTGCATTACCTCTCTTCTTCTTGTGTGCAATGTTAACTAATGCTAGTTTTTTAGTCTCTTCTGAATGCTCATGTACATACAAGCACTTTGTAAACCGTTTTGAAGGTGCGAGATAAAGCTCTTGTATTGTTGTTAGTCTTACTGTCGTGTTTGATTTCTCTCGGAAAGCTTCTCTCAACCCAACACTAACAGAAACCAACAGACCCACTGTTACCGTTTCTCTCTTAAAGAGATTCGTTATCTAAACTCTGAAGCATCTGACTGCTCTAGAAACCACTTCACTAGCTTGCGTCTGAACTTACGAGCATCTAGAAGCTTCTGAAGTTAATCTAGACATTTGTTTTTAATTCAATGGAGAATTTCCCAAACTCTAATGAATCTTTCTGGGCAACATGTTCTGTTGGTTTCTCGTCAGTGTTTTGCATCCGATTCATTTATGATCAGTTGGAGAAATTGCATGATTGTATTGAAAATAATGATGTTGTTAAATTCTATATATAGAAGATTCATGATTGAGCAGCAAGCTACATGGTAAGTCGTCTCACCATTACTGACAGTTACTTCTAAAATCATTCTTTTGACATGATCAAACCTAAAATATTAGTATGTTTACAATGTCATTTAAAGGGATAGATCACCCAAAAGTGAAAATTGCCATCATTTACTCTTGTTCCAAACCTGTACGAGTTTTTGTTGAACACAAAAGAAGATATTTTGAAGAATGTTGGTAACCAAACAGTTGCCGGCAGCTATTTACTTCCATATGGGAAACAAATACTATAGAAGTCAATGACTAGCAGCAATTGTTTGGTTCCCAACATTCTCCAAAATATCTTCTTTTGTGTTCAGCGGCTGAAACAAGCTGACAGAATGTTCGATGTTTGGTGAGCTATCACTTTAAGGGACTGATTACTGGTCTTCAGGCTTCACTTCTGTGTTCTTGCGCTAGAGGTCAGTGTCCCCAACATCTAGTGAGCAGCACTATGTAACTTTTTCTGTGTTCAAAATTTGCAAAATGTATATAATGAGCGAGTGCATCATGAATTCATCTTCCAAATCGCGTTTTTGTCTTCCGGATCACTACGGTACACTTATAATAAGTACTTATATTGGGACTATTGTCGGCTAGTCGGGTCGCCACCGCGGCGGAGTAACACCAGAGACATTAGAGAAGTAGATCCGGTTGGAATGTTCTTCCGCGGGATGTGTGCAGTTTCTAGAAGCTTCTGAAGTTAATCTAGACATTTGTTTTTAATTCAATGGAGAATTTCCCAAACTCTAATGAATCTTTCTGGGCAACATGTTCTGTTGGTTTCTCGTCAGTGTTTTGCATCCGATTCATTTATGATCAGTTGGAGAAATTGCATGATTGTATTGAAAATAATGATGTTGTTAAATTCTATATATAGAAGATTCATGATTGAGCAGCAAGCTACATGGTAAGTCGTCTCACCATTACTGACAGTTACTTCTAAAATCATTCTTTTGACATGATCAAACCTAAAATATTAGTATGTTTACAATGTCATTTAAAGGGATAGATCACCCAAAAGTGAAAATTGCCATCATTTACTCTTGTTCCAAACCTGTACGAGTTTTTGTTGAACACAAAAGAAGATATTTTGAAGAATGTTGGTAACCAAACAGTTGCCGGCAGCTATTGACTTCCATATGGGAAACAAATACTATAGAAGTCAATGACTAGCAGCAATTGTTTGGTTCCCAACATTCTCCAAAATATCTTCTTTTGTGTTCAGCGGCTGAAACGAGCTGACAGAATGTTCGATGTTTGGTGAGCTATCACTTTAAGGGACTGATTACTGGTCTTCAGGCTTCACTTCTGTGTTCTTGCGCTAGAGGTCAGTGTCCCCAACATCTAGTGAGCAGCACTATGTAACTTTTTCTGTGTTCAAAATTTGCAAAATGTATATAATGAGCGAGTGCATCATGAATTCATCTTCCAAATCGCGTTTTTGTCTTCCGGATCACTACGGTACACTTATAAGTACTTATATTGGGACTATTGTATATAATTGTTGTCGATACAATGAGAACCCAAGCTGTTTGGTTCCCAACATTCTCCAAAATATCTTCTTTTGTGTTCAGCGGCTGAAACGAGCTGACAGAATGTTCGATGTTTGGTGAGCTATCACTTTAAGGGACTGATTACTGGTCTTCAGGCTTCACTTCTGTGTTCTTGCGCTAGAGGTCAGTGTCCCCAACATCTAGTGAGCAGCACTATGTAACTTTTTCTGTGTTCAAAATTTGCAAAATGTATATAATGAGCGAGTGCATCATGAATTCATCTTCCAAATCGCGTTTTTGTCTTCCGGATCACTACGGTACACTTATAATAAGTACTTATATTGGGACTATTGTCGGCTAGTCGGGTCGCCACCGCGGCGGAGTAACACCAGAGACATTAGAGAAGTAGATCCGGTTGGAATGTTCTTCCGCGGGATGTGTGCAGTTCTGTTTATTAACCGCTAGAGCGCCATAAGTTACATAGTGCTGCTTTAATTTACTTGCTACGTATTTCTTTCTGTGCAACTTTAGAACTTCTGGATTCCTGTTAATATGTAATAATCCACCATATCTGTGCATGTTTCCTGTGATATCTTCCTTACGTAACACGCATTCAATTCTACAGTCTATTCAGATCTTCATATGTTCACAACTCCAGCATTTTTGAGACCATTCACTTATTCATCTTTATTTGATGTGAGCTGCTTTGTCTTTCGAGATTTGCTTTATTGTGATGTTGTTTTGAGTTTTTGGTCACACTTTAGTTTGGGGACCAGTTCTAGCCTACTACTTAAAGACTTTTGCCTCCATAAACTCTTAATTTCTGCTTATTAATAGTTAGAAAGGTAGCTAGTTGGGGATGCAGAATATGTGCTTTATAAGTACTAATAATATGCATGTTAATAGGCAACTAGTTAATGAATTATTCTCTAACTACAGTGTTACTGATTTGTTTTTAAAAGTTGCGGAAAAGCCCAGTTTTCAAAGCTCTTTGTTGACTTTCTGAATATTTGTTCATTCTATCATGTTTGCATACTTTAATGAATATATGGTGTATTCAGAAGAAAAGAGGTGTTTTAGAAAATCCAAAACAAGCAGTGGTTTAATGCATATAACAGCATGACATATCATCTTACTTTGGACAGGAACGATTAGTTTGAGATTTTAATAAATTACAAAAGGGCCAGATTGATTCATTCAAAGCTGAACACTTTGCAGTTCTGCACATTCGTGCCGAAATCAGACGAGACCGACAGTTTCTCTAGCTGCCGGCGTAGAACGTGTAATAGCCGATGGTCTTGGAGTGTGCTGAATTGTCCTTGTTGAAGTTTTCTGAGGCGCTGGAATCTTCACACTTGACCGTGGGAGAGTTCTCCGCTCCAGACTCGCCGAGGGAAACCCGCCGCCGTTTGCAAACCACAGAGTAAATGCTCGGCTCCACAGAGTCTAGAG